GGCGGGCGGGGCGGGGCGTCCGCCCCCCCGGGACACGGCTCCGGCCGCGGGGAGCGGAGCGCGGGGGTCCCCGTGCCGTGGGGGCCGCGCAAAGAGCGGGGGGGCCTTCGCTCCCGCTCGGACAAGCAGGGTCATTCCTGCCCCCCTGGAAATAACCCGTCCCCTCCTTTCCCAGGCCACTGGTTTTACCTTTTCCTTCTGGATTTACATTGCTCTGCTCTCCCCTTGGAGACGGGGATCGCTTCCCCCTCCTGCCTGCCCGCCACCTTTCTGTTCTCCCCAGTTAAACTATTCTCCTTCTCCATCATACCCAGTTTGGCAGCGTGTCAGCATCTCTGTGTGCCTTTTCTTATTGCATGCCCCAAATGTGTCCTTTATTTTCCCTCTATGAGTTTGAGGCCGCCCTGGATACAGAGGAAGGCTTTTTTCTCCCCTGGATACAGAACACCTTGGGTCACTGCTGTCTTTCGACCCCCTGAGGTTGTCCTGGTGGTTCACTGCCCCCTGATGTGCAGCTTGAGTTCCTTGCTCCCTGCTTGAAACGAGACACGAGGCTCCACTGGGCTGTTCAGCTGCGGGTTTCACTGCTGTGGAAAAAGCTACCTACAGATAGAGCCTGCAGATGTGGGAGCGGCAGGGAGCCACAGGCCTCCGCAGCTTTACGAGAGGATCCTCATGGAGCTGCCTCAGTCTGAAGCCAGGAGAAATGACACCGGGTCCACTGGGTGCATCTGCAGGCAGCGGAGAAGGAGCATCCCTGCTGTGCCCGGCTGGGGCATGGAGCAGAGCTCATCCCACAGGATACAGTACTGCTGGCAGCAGGGACCCATGGCAGACCCATGGCCACCTCTGTTTCCCGAACAAGCAGGCAGGATTTTTGACCTCTGGTGTGGAAAACCGCTCCCACACACTGCCAAGCAAACAGCAAGGACTGGGCCTGGGAAGGAAGGAGTCGATAAATCACTTTACGGGAATTATCGCCCCAGTAAGCTCCATCCGTGGGCCGTGGGCAGTCAGGCTCGGCTGACTCTACAATCATACAAGATTTGGGACTGTTTTCGCTGCACCTCGCAGGGCTGAGCGCATGGCTCCAGGGGAGGGACAGAGAGACACCAGCAGTTCTGCGGGGCTGTGCTGCCTGGGAAACAGAGGGAGATGGAGCTCTGCCTGCAGTGGGCTGACTGGGCAAGGACAGGACCCGCCACAGCAGGGTGTGCAGGCAGCCCCATAAATACCCCTAAATACCCCAGAGTTGCTGGGCAGTGCATGTCCCCAGCATCGCCATGCAGCCTTGGGCTCTGGGCACTGACTCCATCACCCTGACGCTGCTCCCACCTTGGGCGTTTGCCTGGACTGCTGGCTCGGTCACTGAAATGTCCTCATTCGCCCTGTGCCAGGGCAGAGGGAGCCCGGAATGTCACCAGCAGGTCCTACCTCTCCTGCCTGGCTCCTGGGCTGCCCCGAGTACCCTGGGGTGTGTGGCAGGGTGCTCAGCCATCCTGGGGCTGCTGGTGGGGGTGGTGGGTGCTGTGGGGCAGGGCCTGGGCCGGGGGTGCTGACAAGGTCATGCCAGTGGTGCCAGGCAGCTACCCATCGTGCTGCCTATCTTCAGCTCCCTGCCAGCTCTGCAGGGGTCAGGAACATGACAGCCCACCACCCTGCACCTCCCGCCACTCCCAAATTAACCCACACATGCCACTGCAGCAGGGAGTGGAGCGGGCTGGGCCCCCAACGCAGCCTGGGGCAGGCAGAGCCATCCTGCCCAGCCGGGCACTCACAGGGCTGCCAGGAAAGGGAGGGCAGGGATGTGCTGGGGAGAGGGTGTAGGGCAGATGCTGGGGTGACCCTGTAACCCAGCGTGGGACCCTCTGGCACGCCCAGACCCACTTTCCAGGCTGGATCGAAGCCTCTGCTGCACAGTTCCCTTGGGAAAAAGCTCTGCCACTGCTTGCACAGCCCTGTCCCATCTTCCACTGGGAAGGAAATCCTGGAAGAGGAGCTGGGTTGGGGAGAAGGGGAAAGGGAAGGTAACAAGGCAGAGAGGTCATGTGAATTGAGCAGCCCTGGGGCTGCAGCCGGGTGTGGGCAGGGGCAGAGCCGGGTGCAGGCAGAGCTGGGTGCAGGCAGAGGAGCTGGTGCAGGCAGGGGCAGAGCTGGGTGCAGGCAGAGGAGCCGGTGCAGGCAGAGGCAGAGCTGGGTGCAGGCAGAGCTGGGTGCAGGCAGAGGAGCCGGTGCAGGCAGGGGCAGAGCTGGGTGCAGGCAGAGGAGCCGGTGCAGGCAGGGGCAGAGCTGGGTGCAGGCAGAGCTGCCGGTGCAGGCAGAGGAGCCGGTGCAGGCAGAGGCAGAGCTGGTGCAGGCAGAGGAGCCGGTGCAGGCAGGGGCCGTGGGCAGGAGGAGGAGCCCGGGCGGGCGGGAGGACGCTCTGATGCGGGTCAGCCCTGACATCACCCGGTGCTTTCGGTTTCTGGGGAAGTGCAGGAGCCCAGGGCTCTGAGCTCCCGGGGGCAGAGGAGCCGCCATGGCGGGGCGGGAGGCCGAGGATGAGAGCACCGATGAGTTCCACGTCTTCATTAAGACTTCTTCAGGCATCGTATTTGCGGTGCCGGTGTCTCTGGATGACACTGTGTGGGATCTTAAGGTCAAGCTGAACCGGCAGGACCCCTCCCTGACCCCCGATGGAGGAAGGCTGATCAACGCGGGGAGACAGATGGAGGACAGCCAGACCCTGCAACACTATGGAATCAAACCAAACAGCTTTGTGTATCATATACTGAGATGTAAGTGTAGGTGGCTGGGGAAGGGGCTGAGGATCTGTCTGGAGGTGGGAGGATGGGGAGTGGGGGTCACACAGACATCAGGGTGTCTCCCGAGGAAGGACTCTGGCTGGGACCGCAGGCAGGAGCCTCCGCAGGGAAGGGCCAAGGCGGCTGCGGGTGTGTGTGTGGCAGGAGCTGCCGGAGCAGGCACGGCTGTGCTGCTGTGAAAGACAAAATCGGGACTCAATAGTTGGGATAACTATTAAGCAGGTATCCTTTATTGCAGCGCTGGACGCAGAGGGGATCGCTCCTCCAAATGTGCGTGGCAGACAAAGTCAGTTTAACAATTTATATGGACACCACACATGCATATTCATGCGAGAACAAATTGACATACTCATTAGTTTCCAGTAACTCATTACCATATGCTACCTCCCTCTTGGAGCTCCCCATTCTTCAGAGATAAGTACCTTCTACAAGGTAACATTGTCCTGGCCTACACCATTGCTACCTGCATCCGTGCCTTCCTGTCCTGTTACTTATCATGGCTCTGCGGGTGGGTAGGCCCCTGTTTTTGGTCAGCCAAGTTAAAGAGACAAAAACACACAATATTTGCTAACTCATACTTAGGACAAGAGCAGCCTAGTTATGTCAAGCAAACCTTCAAGCCATACTTAGCCTTATTCTTTAAGGAGGTTCACCTCGTCACTGAGATTTATACGTTGGAAGGTGGGAGGAAGGCGAGGGCCCAGGGCTGCACTTAAGCAGGATGAAGACGGGGGGTGAGGAAGGGTTCTGCTCTTGGACTCTGCTCTCTGCGTGGCAGTGGGGAGGGATGGCGAGGCAGATGCTGGGAGCGTGTTCTCAGCCCTGCGATGTGCTGCCCTCCTGGGATGGGCGGCTGGCTGGCATTCCTGGTGCCTGGCAGCTTGGTGTGAGTGGGCACAAATAGGCAGCAAGTTTCATAGAAAAGGCCTGAAGAAGAGAGCACAGGCAGAGGATGGGACACTCCCCTTGACGTGACGTGGCTCCTGAGCTCTCCTCTGGTTTGTGTTTCTGTTGCAGATGGAACTTTAAGAGTCGAGTTTCCAGGTAAGGTCATGTCCTGGTCCTCCCTGACCACCCGGTGTGCGAGCTGGTGGTGAAAATATCAAAGCTCAATTTTCAGGTAAGATCATGTCCTGGTCCTCCCTGACCACCCGGTGTAGTGGAGCTGATGGAGCTGTATGGTGGTGAACGTGGGACCTCAACTCACTGCACGGTGGTGAGCGTGTCCCTCCCACGGTTCATGGAGGAGGATGTAGAAGTTGGGGTGGGAGTGGGAGTATGCAGTGGCACACGAGGGGCCCAGTGCAGCTGATGGGATGGGGAAGGCTGGGTGAAGGCTGCTTGAGGATGGCTTCTTCTCCCAAACAAGAGGCAAAAATGACAATGTCTTCCAGGTTTTGTACTCACAGACTCACACCTAATGCTACGGGAGGAACTCGATAGCGCATCTCTGCCAGACAAGGCCTCGGTGAGCGCATACTCCACTCACATCAACAGTACAAATGATGGAGGACATCTATATCCCTTCTCTGCCAGACGAGATTCCACTCACATCAGCAGTCCAAGTGAGGGAGGACATCTATATCCCATCTCTGCCAGACAAGGCCTCGGTGAGCGCAGAGGTGAGGTCTTGCAGGACACAGTGCCTGAGGCTGGGTCCCTGAGTGAGGAGCACCATGAGGCTGGGGAGGAAGGCACGGCTGCAGCACGCGGGCTCACAGCTGGCCCAGTGGACGGGGGGGTCCAGCACTGCCCATCGCCACCACGGCACCAGGTGGGGCAGCAGGAGCTGGTGACTGCTGCCCCCGTTCCCAGGAGAGGGGCCTCACGGTGCCAGCAGGCCAGGCGGGCACAGGTCCTGTTTGCTCCCTGCAGGAGCCAGCACTACACCTGATGCTGGAGATGTTGCTCCTCCTGCCTCCAGCAGGCAGGCACGGCTGGAGGGTAAAATACGGCTTGCGAGTGCTTTTCCCTATGTTCTCCTCTGCAGATGAGCTATGAATCCAAACAATCCAATGACTCTCCAACACCAGAGGGAAACTGCTGGCGCTGCATGTGGGAGGTAAGGGCTTTTGCCGGTCCTGGCAGGCCCAAAGGAAATGGCACAGCAGGGAGGCTGGGGCTGACCCGGGCTGTCACCTGGGGGGTTGGGTGTGCCTTCAAAACCTGTTATTCCCAGCAATTCTTCACCCACTGGAAGAGTCCAGTCCCTTCTGCTACGTTAACTCAGCACGGGCTGCCCCCGTTTTCAAGTTCATGGGAAGACAAATTCCACTTGCTCACATCCCAAGTTTACTCTTGCTGCTAAACGTTTTGTCTGCCTGTGGGCACTGTCCTCTCTGCTGATACACCGTGGCAGAGAGGGAACAGCCCAGGCTTTACTCATCAGAAAGTCAGCAGCCAACAACATTTCTTCTCTCAGGAAACAGAAACTTTCCTATCTGGAATTCCCATTTGCAAAATTCATCCTAAAAATCAGTGGGTGAAACGCGTAGTTGGAGCTCTGGGAGCTGCTCTCCATGTCCACTCATTATCCTTCGTACTGACGCACGGGGGATGCATGAACTAACCGATGCCTTCCCCAGCCCAGTGGCATCTACCCAAGTGGGGCTAAGTGTTCTGTCCTCCTTGCTGTACCTGCATGCAGGATTTCTCTTGGGGACCACTACAGGGGTCCCCATTAAAGGGGTTGTGAGCCTCAGATGTGGCCAGTGCTTGCTTTGGTTCCCAGGGCAGAGAAGTTGCCAGTCAATGACTTTTCTGGCCTCTTCACTGATGAGAGTGGTGCCTTTCTGGGCACCAAGCAGCAGCTGCTGATCCCCTGCTGCTGCTCACGAGGCTCCAAGCTCCCACACCGAGCTGCATCATGCTTCACTGTAAATCCCACACTCCTCCTGCAAGCAGCACCCGTTATGCAATGTCCTGTTTGGTCCCAAACTGGCCACACTTGTGTTGCAGGATCTTCCAAAAGTGACTCCAGTTACACACTGGGACGATCTGGCGGAGCACCTGGTGTACCGGTAAGAGCTGTTGGGTGAAGCGGGAGCACCTTCCCAAAGCCCTGTCCCAGGTGGCACGAGCCTGTCGTCCCTCCCACCCGCAGAGCTGACCTCCCTCGCGCAGGCGTCTTCCAGTGCTCCCTCACAGGCCTCAGCTTCGAGGTGAAGTCAGCAGTGACCATCACCTACAGATACGACACCTGGGCCGAGCACCTGAGTGAGGCTGACTGGGAAACATGGGTGCCCGCCGGACCCCTCTTCCACATCAAGGTGCAGCCGGGGGTTGTGCAGGCGGTGTATCTCCCCCACTTCATCTGCCTGGCAGGTACAGCAGCCGCAGGGACCTGGGTCTCCCGAGCCGCCATCCCTCAGCCTGTGCCCCACTGGGGACACCTCTGGCTCCTTGGAGACCTCTCTCCATTCAGAGCCAAATTCTCCCTTCCCTCCGAGGTCCTGTGTACTCCCTTGTATTCCCCTGCTTTGTTTTGGCATCCTTCACCCTTCTCTCACATTCTGTCAACCCTTCTCAGTGGTCCCTTCCCCAGCTCCAGCCCCACACCAGCAGCCCCTCCTCGCCCACCCTCTCCTCCCAGCTGCCGTGATGACCCCCGGGCACTACCCCAGCCCAGCTGCACAGCAGCTGCCGGGCTCCCCCTCGGAGTTTCTCAGCTCTCTGCTCCTGTGGATGGCAACGGCTGTCCATAGATGACAGAATGTGTCATTGTGTGTGGGCACATCTCCTTCCTCTTGCTAAAGCCGTAAAGAGAAGGAGGCAGCCTGAGAGGGTGCCAGGGAGACTAAACAGAACCTTGTTGCCTTTGCTGTCTCTTGCAGCTGCTCTGCCCCACTGGGACAGGAGCCATGACTGGAGCACCCCCGGGTGGGATGCAATAGGTCAGAGCTGGCCTGCGCAGAAGAATCATTGGAATATAATTGTCCAATTTCACCCAGGCACCATGAATGGCCACAAGGCTTGGATCTGAGTCCTCTGCCCCGCAATGCACTTAATGAGCCACTGTTAATGAGCGGAGAAAAAGCATCAGCACCCACAGCTGGGCTGCAGAGCATGCAGAGGAGTCCCAGTCCGCCGTGATGGGATGCCCTGACACAGGCACTGGGTGTGTAGGCACGTCTCCTTCCTGCAGCTAAAGAGGAGGCAGCCTGAGAGAACCTTGTTGCCTTTGCTGTCTCTTGCAGAAGATGTAAATACCAGCCTGTGCTCCATTGCCCATTTTAAATCTGGGGAGATGACCCTGGAGAGACCGACCAGACTGATTGCTTTCTCTGCTGTCCTGGAGAATCCCAGCTTCTCACTGCTTGGGGTGCTTTGGAGGAGGTTACGTTCAACCTTAAATTCACTCCCTATGCACTCCTTGGTATTGATCTTCCAGCAGTTCAATGCTGCAAATACAACTCTTCACTTCTACCTGATCCCAGATGACAATTCTGTGAAGCAGGTAAGATGGAGAGAGCTTGCCTGGGTTAAAAGAGGTTGACATCTGGGGTGGCTGCAGTAGCAAGGACTGGATTTGAGAAGCAGAGATTTGTCCCAGTTCTTCTGCCACCAGCCTCTGATTCTTTTCGTTTCTACCTGATCCCAGATGACAATTCTGTGAAGCAGGTAAGATGGAGAGAGCTTGCCTGGGTTAAAAGAGGTTGACATCTGGGGTGGCTGCAGTAGCAAGGACTGGATTTGAGAAGCAGAGATTTGTCCCAGTTCTTCTGCCACCAGCCTCTGATTCGCACATGGTCCTGTGGCCCCACCTCCCACCACATCTCCCCGACTCTCCTCTTTCCCAGATGCCTCCAGGAATCATGTTTTCAGCTGGGGCAGCATGTCCTGGCGGGAGCAGAGCCCTGGCACAGGATGCTCTGTGGCAGGGAGCAGATGTAGGACTTGCTGGCCACTGCCGGGCGCAGCAGTAGGTGGCTGCACACCAGCCCTTCTCCCGTGGTGTGCAAGCCCTTACCCTCTTTCTCAGAAAAGAAAGTGCGTTACCTGCCTCGGTTCCTGCCTCTCATGGCAGGTTCCTGCCTGTGCCGAGCGGGAGCTGCCTGTGCCCCCTGAAGCGCAGCGCTGCCTGCAGGACACCTCTGTGGTCTCTTCTGACTGGGTCGGTCTCTTCTCTTCTTGACTTCCCAAGGACTACCTGCAGTGCACAGCTCTGGTTTTTTTTTCCTCTCTCAAAAGCAATGCTTGATTTTTACAGGCCATTTTAAAACAAGAAATGGAATATGAATCAAAGTTTATTCCCAAGCCTCCTCCATTCAGACCTCTGTTCTTTGGCTGCAATTACCAGGTGACCACTACAGCACCCGCACAGATAACACCTCAAGTAAGTGGGATTGTTCCCTTTTTGGTGTTTTTTTTTTTTTTTTACGGGCCCGGTCTTTTTTTTTTGATTTAGCCCTTTGGACACAGTCAGAGAGTTCTCTGAATTAAGGTGTACTAAGGAGATTACTATAGATCAAGCCTGGAAGAGTTAAAAATAGTTCTCTCTAAGAGGGTGCTGTTACAGAAAATAAAAAAGTGGATCTCAGAAGAATTTAGCTCTGCTCTTTCGAAAATTGATGACGTCTTAAAAAAGAAGAAATGGAATGGAAATCAAAGTTTATTCCGAAGCCTCCTCTATTCAAACCTCTGTTCTTTGGCAGCAATTACCAGGTGACCACTACAGCACCCGCACAGATAACACCTCAAGTAAGTGGGATTGTTCCCTTTTTCTTTTTTTTTTTTTTTTTTTTTTTTTTTTTAAAAAAAAAAAAAAAAAAAAAAAAAAAAAAAAAAAAAAAAAAAAAAAAAAGTTCTAGGAAAAATATTAAACCC